TCTCTTAGTCCTTACTAAGAATAATGGAGTATGAATTATTAAGAATGAAATATATTAATTTAAGTAATACAAATAAAACAACAAGAACTCCTTCATTAGGCATTCATTGTGCCAAAACTGCCACTTCATACAATGAAGTGAAACCTAGAAGTAAATAAAACATATCTATTTATTTATAATTCATGCATTATTTTTAAAAAGGATATCAAAGATATAAAACCATCTGATCACCAATCTAGTTTCAACAAGGTTACTTGGGTACACAATAGCTAAAAACCCTATGACTGTTCTTACAGAACACTTTGTCACACTAAAACAAACCAAAGCAGCACACCCTTATGTCCAGACCAGACAGTGAGAGAATCTTCAAAAGAGCAAGGGCCTTGCTTCCAAGTAATTCACATAGTCAGTGGTAGTTACATAATTTCATGTCAACTTTAAGATATTGTGATGGGTAGATTTATTATGCCAACCTGGCCAATAAGAACACGTGGGATTAATAAGGTCGCAGTTTGAATGGAGGGCAGAGATAAATGGCTCGACAAGCCCTGCCTATCTCTCGCTCTTGCTCTCTGGTGATTGGACCATGTGCGGCTCCCTTAGCAAGTTCTCTGCCTAACTTGCGAGCTATACTACCTATGGGGCACTCAACCTGTGGATTGTGTTGTTAGAGCTTGAGGTTCCTTCGAGACCTGCTTTGCCATGCTGCTGGTGTATACATCGCTTGAGCTTGGGACTGTTGGATTCTGTCATGTGGCTGACTACTGGTGACCTACCCTGCTGTTTGCTGCCTCTGGCCAGACTGACTGCATTGCTCTATGGAAGACTCAGCTGTCTACTTCCTTGACCTTCAACCAAGCAGCCCTCCTGAGCTAAAGGACTTCCAGTATATTAACTGTTTCATGGAAGTAAGTTGAACTAAGTCCTCTGTACTGCTGTGTGGACCAATTAGCTGTTATATTTCTTCGTGGTGTGTGTGTGTAAAATCATAAGTGACCTGGTTTTGTTTCTCTAAAGAACCCTGTCTAACACAGATATGTAGAAGTGGTAATCAACCTGTGAATCAGGTCACAGCCTATGGTGACTCCTCATGGGCATGACCTTCTCTTAAGGAGGGTCCTGTGAACTACCTTCGCTCTCTGCCTTCACTTTCTTGCTGGTGAGACACTCTGGGACCTGCCAAATCCCTGTGATGCTTCCACTGCCATTGGATCCATAAGACTTTGCACCCACCGATCTGTGACCTTCCTGCATTCTGCATCACTGCTTATGACTGCCTGATTCTGAAGAGAACTTATGAATTGAACTGGGCTGTTTTCCTGATATATAAAGCTTCTTCTTTTACACACACATAAGCATTACAGGATTTGTTTCTCTAGTCAACCTGGCTCGTTGTAAATATAGATTATATGGTCTATAATATAATAATGGATCATATACTCTGAGATCTTGCAGGTTTCTCCCTCCTGATATTCAAAACGTTTCAAGTCTTGTGAAAGAGCACTGACTATTTTTCTCAATCTGCAGTTCAATCTTATCACCAAGAGTTTATGATTAAGACTACAAATTATTCCACTTCATAAATGAAAACATACAGGAAGACAGACATATTTGGCCAAAAGCAAATATAAAGTGTCATCACAGATTAGAAAGCAAAAGAAAAAGTGTAATTTCAAACAAAAGGAGAAAATCTGACTTTCAAACATTAGTTGAAAAGAATCCACATCAGTAAGTGACCACAGAGAGTAAAAAGAAGGAAAACATATCAATAAGAGAGAAAAATGGAAAGGGTTTTAAGTACCAAGGAGCACAAGAAAGAAAGCAGGAAAATTCCATTTAAACCTTTGCAAAATCATGGTTATGTGAACAAAGCTCTAATTTAAAACTACCAACTAATTAAAACTGTTTATGTT